TTAAACTATTAAGAGTGTCCAAAGGAGGACCACGAGGATGCTGAAGGGTCTGGAGGGGAAGCCATATGAGGAGCAGCTGGGGTCATGTAGTCTGTTCAGCCTGGAGGAGACTGAGGGGATACCTCCTTGCAGTTACAACTTCCTAATGACAGGTAGAGGAGGGACAGGTACTGATCTCTTGTCTGTGATAACCAGCGACAGGACTCAAGGAAACGGCAGGAAGCTGCATCAGGAGGGATTTATGTAGGAGATCAGGAGAAGGTTTTTCACTCAGAAGGCACTGGAACAAGCTTCCCCAGGAAAGTCTTACAGCACCAAGCCTGACAGAGTTCAAGAAGTGTTTGGACAAGGTTCTCAGCACATCGTGATTCTTAATGGGAGTTGGAGTCAATGATCCTGATGGGTCCCTTCCAGTTCAGCATATTCTGTGATTCTGTGAACTCAGCTGCAGTTGATTTCATTGCCTGCAGTTGTCTGTGCCAGAGTGATCCACAGCAGCATGCCATTGATGCGCTTTTTTCACATGCATGTGTCAGCTAGAAAATCCACTCAGGAGCTTCCTGAGAGCCTGCTGCATTATAACCTGGTCTTCTGGAGCCTAGAAATCCCTGTGAACTCCTCAGATTGCTCCTTCCCACTGACAAAGTATTGTTTTGAGATACATCTGGTGTCAGGCGTAGGCATATGGCACCAGTATGGCAATGCTGGCTCCGGGGGTGGTTTCCTGCAGAAGAGGTCTGGCTGAAGGCAGTAGTCACTGCCTACTGAGAGTTATTATTATTTAGCACCCAGGTCTTCGTGAACTTGTTTGACTGGTGGCTGGGCAGAGTGCCATCGGAGCGTATGGACATGAGCAGAGACAGCTGAGTCTCCAGGGCCTTACACACATCACATGTGGGTACTGAGGTCAGGCTTCTCAGCAGGGAGAAGCTAAATGACTGTCTGTCCCAAGCACGTGTACCTGTGGTTGACGGGATATGCCATCATTAATCCAAATCTGGGCTGTATTAAGCTTCTAAAATAAAAAACAGCTTTGCCAGCCACTTGAAGAGGGCTGGGGGCCTGTTTGGATCAGTGCATTAGTGGGGAGGGAGGGAGGGAGGGAAGGAAGGAGCAGGGAGGCAGAGCAGGACTGATGAACAAAAGGTTATGATGTGAGCCGTGCTCCACAGTACTCCTCCCCACGGGCTGAGATGACCTGACCCCCCCACCAAGGCAGGGGGCAAAGGGTGCTGCCTTCCTCCCCCCAACTGCAGACCTCTCCAAGGGCTGGGCAGCACTTCTGTTTGTGAGACCCAGCCCTCTCTTTGCTGTAACAAGAGCATGGACATCTCCTGTTTTGTTTCTTAATTGTTTTCAGCACGGTTCTTGCAGCAGCTGGAGCAGAAGCTTTAGCATTTGAGTAGCAGGATTGCCTGTTTGCCAGGCAGAATCCCCATGTTTAGCAGCCTGAGCTCTCTCTTATGCTTGGGCAGTGCTCCCACATGGAACTAACTCAGGTTTCCCCCTCCGGCCCTTGGAGATTCACAGAGAGGCAGAGCATGCACAGGGGATGAGGCAGCAGCGCCAGTATTGTGGCCCCACTAAGAGTACAACATCTGGGTGGGAGATCACAAAGCCAGAAGCACCAGAAACACTTTAGTAAGGCCTTTAGTAAGGCCATTGAGAAAGCTAAGGAGAGACAGAAAAAGCAAAATCCAGTAGGCTGTATTTGCATAGAGGGAGAAAACACCTGAGCATTAGGCTGAAGTGCATACTGGAGTGATTCGCTGCACAGTGCTGTTCAGAGGGATGCAGATGACCAGACACTGTGATTCTGCCCGTGTCTTGTGGGTCCCGACAGCTGCTCAGACAGATGCTTTGTGGCACCCATAAAACGATAATGCTGGGAATCTCCTAGCTTTAAATGCTGCTTTTCTACTGTGAACACTAAACTCCCTGTGGAATTCCTTCTGACATGATTCCTCCTACATTTATTTATGTGCTGTTGCCATATACTGTGAGACTAGCTGCTTCTGTCCTCTGCAACAGGTAACTAAGCACCTGCAGTATAAAATATCCCTAACTGAAGAACTGGGAAGCTTTACCATTGTTATTGGAAAGTGCCATGAGATTTCCCTAGAAGGGTGTGGCAGAAGTGCAACTGAGGATATGCTGTTATTTTAAAAACCTGACCATGTGCTGGTTCCTCCCCCTTTGAAGTCAGTGGCAAAGCTGTTTCAGAGGAGCAAGACTACTTGAACAGGCAAACAAGAGGCAGCCTGGGGGCAGAAGAGGCTTACAGGGAATGGTTTCTGCTGCTGTCCTTGAGCACAGAGCTGTTCAGACAGACTGGAGACCTGTCAGCCATTCTCTCCCATTAAGACTAAGAAATGAATGCTTTTCAAGTTCTTAAATGAATGGGCTTAATCTTACAGCCCTTACTCATCTCAGTACTGCCATTAATTTTAAGAAAATAATCACTGTATTAAGTGCTATGGAATGGAGTCCTTAAATTGTTAAATTCTAATATTTGACAGAATTTTTTATTGGATAGAAAAATAATACTGACATAATTAAAAGGATGTGAACATTTCACCTTTTGAAGACTGCAAGCTGCTTTGGAGGGAGATATAAAACTAGAAGAAAACTAGAAGCAGTGCAGAGAGCCCAAGCCCATGTCATGTCTGTAGGTTATTTTTGAACTTTATGAAAAACACACTTTAGCAGTTTATATCCTGACCATTCAACTGTATTCTGGCATTCTAAATGCAAAAACATGCTAACCATGAAAGCAGAACTTTTAAAAATACCCTGTCCACTTGGCTTCTTTGCCCTGCTTCAGAGTCTCCCAAGTTTGTTTGGGACAAACTTGGGAACTTTGTTGTGGAATGACTGTTTGAATTGGGGTTTCTTAAAATACATGTGGAGCCCTGTAGCTGCTGTGGGGTGTACCCAGTGGTGGAGCTGTACTATTTTAAAATCATCTGGCTATTTCACTTCATGTAAGAATATCTGTCAGCTTAGTTATAAGGAATGAGAGGGGTTGATTAAAACAACTCACTAAGCCATTAAACAAAGAGATAAAATGTAGAACATGTGCTGTAGGGTCGTTTTAATTATAATGTGGGGGGAATCCGTGGAAACTGGACAGCAGCTGGAGAGTAGCTGAGTCTTAAACCCCTCTTAACAGTACCAACATCCTGTTCCTTAGGGGTGGAGTTTCTTTTCTGTAAAGCTAGGTCCTTTGGAAATGGTGTTTGGAAGCTACCTCTTATTGCTATGACTGACCATAATGGAATTGCTGTGCTCAAGCACTTGGATATGGACTAAAATAGGCATTTATTACACTAATCCTCTAGTCATTAGGTGCTAGACTATATAACAAAAGAGAAATGTATGCAGAAGCATTAGTCAAGAGGGGAATGTATAAAGATGTCAAGTGAACAGTCAGGAAGATCCAGAGAGAGTGCAGAAGGAAAAAGGTAATGGCAGCTTTTTTCATTGTCTTGATTATCTTATTAGGTCAAAAAACCCAGTAATGAATATGCTGCTGTATGCTGTAAGTATGTCTATTAAGTTCACTTAACATATACTTTGGTTTTAAACAATTTATCAATTTATCAAAATTTGTTTAATTTATCAATTATCAGGCAGCCACATGAATTCAGTAACAACTGTTTAAACTTCCCATTTAACTTTATTCTTAATAACCTAGTTATAGGCATCAAGAGTTAGCATAGTTAATTCTAGCCCTATCAGAAGGGGTTTCAAGTCTCTCATGAGTTCAAATCAGTCTCAAGCCACTAGAAATCATCACGAGGAGCAGTAGGAAAAGGAGGCAACACATCTGCCCATGTCAAAGGTTTTATAACCCCATCCACTTCTCCCAGAGACAGGGCCATTACCAATGTAGACACTGGGTCTAGTTCAGCTTGGCAGCTCCAGTGTTCCTAATTCAACAAAGTTTACTGAAACATCTGCCATGCTTTTTATGCAAATGAAATATGATAATTTAGTTAACCCTTTGTCACTGAGTAAAGTGTGTTCCCAGATAGGAATACCAATACTTTAAAATATCCAGTCATTAAAATATAAAAAACCATTTGTATAAAGACATAAAATTCAGTACCAATTATATTAAAATGGAAAGTAATTATTTAAGAAGAGCATGGAAAACTTAAAGGAGTTACTGCTTCTTGCTCTTGGCTGTAGCTTGTAGGCACATGAAGGCCTGGGGACTGTTCCCTTGAGGACTTCAGCTGTTGTGTTATTTTAAAGACATTGAAAAGTGGTAGTTGGGATGGATAACAATCTCCATACTGGCATGTGGGGCACTCTGCCAGGTAGCCAGAGTACCCATCACACCAGACTGGCTCCTAAGCATCCCCAGCTAAAGAAAATATACAAAGATAACTCAGCTGCCATTAGGATGAGGAAAAACTCAGTTCTGCTTAAACAGTGTAAAGTAAGGTGTGGTCCCCTTTGTTCTTACCTTGGTAGCAGAGGAATCAGTCATTGATCCAGCAATGAGACACAGCTTGTCAGCTGATGCTCTCACAACAGCACACCTGGAGGTGAACTTTGCAGGTTTTTTCCACAGGCTTTCCTCAAGCTGCCTGAGTTAAAATTTAGAGAAGAAAGAGGGGAAGAGCTCTCCCTGATGGGATGTCATGGGCCAGGATGCCATTCTCTGTTTGGCTGGCATCTGGTTAGTTGAAGTTCTCACTTCACTTTACCATGACACTGTCATGGAAAGGTTATCTCAGGTTTTTAGCATCATGCTCAGACTCATCTTGTATTTTCCCTAGGACCAATGGAACAACACATTTTAGGGTCAAAGTTAGTTCTTTGCATGTGTCCTGTTGCTTTAGTAGAATTACTAGTATGCAAGGAATATGAATAAAGTTCATACGGTGATTCCTAAAATACAAAATGCCAATTACAGTATGCTTCCCTAGGGAGAGAACTGAAGATGGCTGACCATGTAACCCCTCTCTTCTCTACCTCTTTTCCTCCAGTCCTCCGTGATGTCAGTCTGTTTTGCCCGCTTTCACCCAAACCTGGTCGTCGGTGGAACATACTCTGGCCAGATTGTCCTGTGGGATAATCGCAGTCACAGGCGCACTCCAGTCCAGAGAACTCCCCTGTCTGCTGCTGCTCACACGGTAAGGATAAAAATCACCTCCTCCTTCCTTAGAGGAGATGGTCAGCAGGGAGAGGTAGCTGCCTAGTTGTGTCTATAATGCTAGTTGCCACACAGATGAAAACAGAACTGCGGCCCTTGAAGGGAAAAAATTAGATCTGAGACATGAACAACCGCCTCTTGTAAGCGTTTAATCACCACACGTTGTACAATCAAGTCAGGACATTATTCTCCTTTCCAAGGAGGAAGGCAGGATTGAGTACAACACTTGAGTGAGGCACCTATGTGCCAGCACAGTAGCTCTTTAATTCTTGTCCCCATTGTCTGTAAAGAGAGCCAGGCCACTGTGGAGGCTGTATGCCTCTCAGTCTGATGTGGCAGGCAATTTGAGCCATTGTTTTGGTGTACACAAATGTCTCCTTTGAACCAGATTAGGCACCTATGAGGGTCTCATAGTGGATTCCTATAAGTAGATGCTGGTGCCCTCGGAAAAAGTGGGGCACTTTGCTTCTGTTTTCTAATAGAGCAATACATAAATCCCTGCCATGATCTTCTGATCCAGACAGGGCCACAGGGCAGAGTTTGCACACTGAGGGAGAGTTTGTTTCAGTGGAATGAAGGAGGAGAGTATTTTGCTGATACACACAGGTACTTACAGATAATTATTGATGGTGGCAAGAGCAGTAAGACAGAATGTCTGAGAAAGAAGAGACTTTGTCTGTGGTACAAGGATGATGTCTGTGATAGGAAAGTCTCTTACATTGCAAAGCACTCATATTGTGCTGGAGGAATAGTCAAGCCTGGGTTGCCTGCTAAAGCATCCTCACTCTGCTATGGCACTGCCATCCAGTCCGTCCTGCACAAACACCTTGTGCATTCTCCTCCTCCAGAGTCTGGGCATGGGCACACTCTTCAGGAGAGATGGAAGGTGGAATAGCTCATCCTGGGAGCAAGCTTAGGGCAGCTCCTGAGTGGAAAGTAGAAAGGAGGAGAAAAATGCAAAAATGTGATATAAGAGTGCAGAAAACCACAAATTTTCTGTAACGTAAGGAACTGAACTCGACAAAGCACTCTGAGAGATAAGATGGTAATCTTGTTCTAGCAGATTGAAGGTTCAGACAAAGTGACAGTACTTTTGCAGCTCCAGCTTTTACAATTCTGTGATTCTAAGGTTTGGAATTTGCAGATCAAGGTTCAGCTTTCAGTTGACTGTGACAACATAATCCCTGGAGTTAAAAGACAACTCCAGAAGCCATGCCATGTGAATTACTGCTGAAGATTCAGGATGGGGCCAGTATTATGACTGCAAGTCCCTTCTATTAAAAATTACAGGTGTGCACAGACATGCTTAGTGAGCCAGGCAATACAAATACTGTTCCCTAAATTTCCACTATCATGAATGTTGATGTAATTATCTAATGATTTGTGCCATGGGTTGCAACTTCAAGATTGCTTTTCATTTCCCTAATGTTTTTGCTCATTTTGTTGCCAGTAATGTTGTTCAATCTGCATGAAAAGAAACAGTCTCTCCTGGAAGTGCAATTTAGAGATGTAGCAGACCAGAAAACTAGTGGCAAGAAGCTGACTGTCACTGAAAATTGAACAACTGGGACTCAAAATCTAGTGGAAAAGCAAAGACTAATGGGAAGTAATTTGTTTACACTCAAAAATCATTTAAGGCAAAATTGTACCTCCTGGAATTATATATTAAAACAGTTTTATTATTGCAGTAGAACAATATGTAATGTTTTCCTTTTGAAAAATATAAATAAATTACTTTCAGTTGTGGATGGGCACTTTATGTGCTGTCATGGATTGGTATAAATAAGTGTTTGCACAGTCTAACATGAGGAAGTATGATATTTTAAGAAGTGCTCAGATTTTACAATAAGAGTTGCTTACTTACATAAACTGTAAATGAGGTCTTGGTTGCAAAAGGCTGGCTTGAATCCTTGCTGCCAAGAAAAAAAAATTAAATGAAGACAACGCTACATTAGCAATGTTACTTTTTGTACTGCTAGATACGTGAGCTGAGTAGTCTTTTTTTTTTAATTCAAACTCATGCTGTATGTGAAAAAAGGATTTTTCTCTTTTCTTTCTCTTGCTTTGTTTATTTGAAACAGATAGATCGTGTTGTTTTCCCTGACTTAAACCTTCCTGAAATTTAGTATCACTGATTACTGCCTGGATTCACCAGGAAAGAGAATTCTACCCACAGCTTACTCACTAATTTCCTTTCACACCCACCACACATCTGCACTTGGGACAACAGGAAATTTTAATTAAGACAAAACCTTTTTGCATGATGATTTCATTTCCAAGATAAATAAAAGCAAGCTGGCAGCAACCCTTTGAAAGGAAGGAGCCTGTTTAGACTTTCTGTTACATACAGTTGGTTGTCTTTTTCATCCGCTTTCCTTACATCTTTTCATTTCTGCCATGAGTTTTATTGTGCGTGAAATTGATGGCTGGTAGCCCTGATTAAAGCCAGGCCTGACACACTGAGATGCTGCTGGAAAGACATGGCTCACTCTTTTCCCCCTGCTAAATATTCTGCATATTCCACTGCTTGCTCACCCACTCTGTCTGTTTGGTCTACTGGAGGTCAAAAGCCCATGAAAAAAAAAGGTCTATGCTTATTTCACACATCAGTATGCAGTAATCATGTTTAGCACTGGGGTCATTAGCTTACACTAAGCAGCAACAAGGTCCGTGATATGAGGGTAATAGTGTGAGACACATATGAGGGATTAATTGGGGTGCATTTGATGATCTGGGAGAAACCAGGTGCCTGACAATCTTGAGAGAAAATAAAAAAATGGCATCAAATGGACCTTGTGACTTACTGGTGTGTACAGGTTTCCTCCAAGCACAAGGTACTGTTTCAGCACCAGCTGCTCAGTCCATCTCAGTGTGGGCACAAACACTGTTTGTACAGGTGCTGCACCTTTTGCTCTTGGAGAGGGGACATTTACTGGGCCCACTCAGGTATCAAACCTGAGAGTGAGCCAGAGCTCTTGAGCATTTCTGCCATTCCCCACTGACTGGGTGGGTGACCTACAGCTGGATCTTGACGTAAGTGGCAGTTCTGCCATTCCTTTCAGCAGGACCAAATGCTACATTCCTAACACTACATGGAGTTGCTTAGAAGCTCCCTAGAGTGCTAGGATGTCTTGCAAGTTGGTTCTAATCTTCTTTAATTAAGCAAAGTATTAGAGAAAAATTGTTTTTTCTTTCTGGAGGTCTTCTATTTATTGGTAAACACAGCAGAAAAATTAAATTTTTCTTTGCTTGACTTTTGTGTATTTCTAACCTTTAATTTAGCAGTACCACTTGTACCGGTCAAAGGAAATTAAATTTTATTGTTCAGTCTGACTGATTTTTCACTCTGGAGATTGCAGAACTTGACCCATCCCTCATATGTCACCATCAGATATCAGATGGCATTTCAGGCTCAAAGTGTTACCAGGCTCCTTGGAAAAGGAATAGGCCAAGTTTCATTATGCATACTAGCTGGAATTCAGCCTCTATGGAATGACTGCACCATGGTGAACCAGGTGTAACACGCTAAATCTAGTCACTCCCCACTTATAATGACAGATTTTAAAAGGTGTATTGGCCAACGCTGAAGAACATTGATGGGCTTGTTCATGTTCTTCAACTGGAGTACATTTGCAAAAATTTAGCATGCAAGCCAAATTCTGACATAGTTCAAGTTTTATGCAGCTGTTTTCTTGAATAAAGTTTTCATTTTTATTCAATTTGGACAGTTTTCCTCTTTCTGCTGGTTATTTTCAGTGTCAAAAGCCATCAGTAGAATGATACTTGTCCCTGTGGGTGAAATCTCATCCACATAATTCTGTATTTTCACAGCATTACTCAGCTGGGCTGTTTTATTATGAGGAAAATGAAACTTTGAAAACATTTCCACCTCCATAACGTACTTCTTAATATTTAAATGAAAAAGAAACACAATAACCCAACCAAAACAATTCCTATCTGGCAAAAGCTGAGTCTTATATTTTCCAGGCATTGTGTGACTATTTAATCATTCTTTAAAATAACATATGAGACATTAGAAATCTGTTTGTGAAAGCGTAAGAATGGCTCTCTGACTTCCAGTGTTCTGTGCTTTCAGCATCCTGTGTATTGTGTGAATGTAGTTGGAACACAGAATGCACACAATCTTATTACTGTCTCTACGGATGGAAAAATGTGCTCCTGGAGCCTGGACATGCTCTCAACTCCACAGGTGGGTTTGTTTTCACCAGCGTGGGGGGGAAAATTGTCTTTGGTAGAGCAGGATACCTGCGTAGTGGAACATAGCTCCTAAGAGCCAAAATCTTGCATCCTATACAAACTAAAACCAATGGATGCACTTGAAAGAGTACAGCTTGCTTCCAGCAGTCTCTGCTAAGAGCCAAACCCCATTTCCTTTACCACAAATCATGTAATTATTGTAATACGTTAATACATAGGTCAGTTTCAAGTGAAAATGAAATAGTCCATTTTAAAGCATGGTAATTACAGAAGTCGCCTGTGGTATAAATTGCACTTATTCTACAGCATTGTTTAACAAATATGGACTAGATTGCACTGCTGCTGAACACACCCTAGGCACTGCAGGTTTCCAAGGCACAGTCAGAAACTTATTTTGCTGGCAGCCTTCAGTAGCCAAAGGAACAAACAATGCAAATCAAAAGTTTTAGAACTAATTCTCCCCCTCTGGAATGTTTGCTACTATTGTCTGTTCCCCCCTCCTCTCCTTTGTATCAGAAATGAAAGGAAACACAGGAAAATTGCCCAAACCACTAGTGATTATAATAATGGAAACTAAACAAAGAATCCAATGCTGAAAAAGGTGTACAGAAAGCATCTTTTAAGTGTTATCTTTGGAAGAAATACATTTTCTATTCTAACACATCACTCATTTTTATACACAATTTCTTAGAAAAGAATTAATATAATTTTACTAAGCAGCATGGGATCTGATCTTGTTTCAAAATGCTGCATAGAAACTCCCTATAATGATTCCATTAATCATGCGCTAATATGCAATTACTATTGAATTATTTGCTTTTCAGTGTTTACACAAGAGGTGGGACTCTTCTATCCTAACCTCAGCCATCTAAAAATTGATGTGTCAAGTCTAACTTAGAAATTCAAGTTTTCTGTACCACTGAGGTAGAGGGAGGCTGGTACTTCTGGAGGGTGACTCATCCCATCCAAGTGTGAAAAGCCATTTCAGATACCCACCCTGGGACATGGAACTATCCTATCTTAGGGTGGAGGAGGATTCTGGAAGTCATCACATCTACTCCTCTACTCAAAGTGAGACCAACTTCAAATTTCGACCACATTGCTCATGTAAGGCAACAGTGTAGGGCTGGTAGTTGTGCCCTGGGACTGTAAGAAACCAATATTCTTCTGCAGTAGAAGTGGAGGCATCTAAAATGGCCCAGGTATAATGCCTTCCACAGTTTCTCACCTAAACATCAAGAAGACAAATCCAATCCCACCCCTGCATATTCATTTACTGGAATACTAAAGTCTGAAGCACAGATCTGTGAACATCTGAGTTCCAGTATCTCATCACTCAAATGGAATTTCTCTGCTCCAAATCTGGCTCTCGACAAGGATGGGAACACACCCCACATTACACCGAAGTCTGGCACATGGCTCGTGGTGATCTAGAAAAGAGAGGCACAGGACTTGACGTCAAGCTGCATGCCATAGCTTTAAACTGGGAGGAGTAAAGTGTTGCTGATGTGTGTCAGTCTGAAACTGTCCAAAGACACAGCTCCAGAGCACTTGTGTACAGTCATGGTGTGGGCGCTGGGAGCAGAGTGTCCACCACAGTCTATGGTCATGTCCCTGCAGAGACACTAAATGATGATCTCACCCCAGAAGGTTTTAACAAAAATATATGGTTTCTCTCCCATAAAACAGAATTTCTCTCTCTCTCACTCACATGTTTACAGAAATATGGGGTGGTCTCCCAATGCATTTTCCATGCCTTGCTTTGCCTTTATAATAGAACCAAATTTATTTCAAAGAAAAGCATAAACCAAGCAGAAGAATTTCTCTGTGGGTTTGCATCGCTCTCCTTTCACAGGGATACCCAATTTCTTTACAGCAAAAAAGCCCTTTTGAGAAAAACCGTACAGACTTTGGCCCTAGAAGAACAGCAGCACAGACCTTTTAAACATAGAGAACATAACCACTTAAATAGCTAAAAATGAAAATGGTTAAATCATTCAGGCCTTTTGTGGATTCTTGGGTTACACCATTTAGGCTGAAAACCTAAAAAGTTGTGCAAAATCTGCTCAAAGCGTACACATCTTGCAACAGCCACAAACTTGCATGGTTATTTTATTTGCAATTGCAAAAATGGGCATGCTGATTTGCTTTAAAATATAGCTACCAAATGAAAACAGAAAACATTCCTGCTGGTTTGTAGCTTGATGGTGGAGTCTAGAGGGAGTGTTTATGGTTACCTCAGAAAATCCCTGAAAAGCAATGCTTAGAATCGTGGTAGTGACAGGACCCCAACTTTTTAATTTTGTTCTGCAAAGGGACAAATGACACAGTGAAATAAATGCCTCACTTGCACACGATATTGCAAGAGCTTCCTGACAACTGATTTCCAGAATGCAAATAGAAGGGTATTGCATGATTTATTAAAGCCTGGGGCTGGCAAATGTAACCATTAAGGTATTATCTTTAGTTTCTGCACCATTAGATTTTAAATTCTCACCTGTCATCTCTGGCTGATCTAAGATGATGCAGAAAAGGCCAGTGCCCTCCTGCCAGTCTCATATGTGTGACAGACAGCACTGGGGATGGCAGGAGCATCCTGGTTTGTGACACTGCATCTTCTTACTACATCTTATGTAGAAACCAAATGTGACTGGGTCAAATGATTTTATCTTCCTCTCCTGCTACTCCATGTAATATTTAGAAATCAGTTTTTAAAAAAACCCCAACCCAGACTAACAAAAGGAGGATGCCAGCATAATAACAAAAATCTGTTTTGGTAGGAGAGCATGGAGCTGGTATACAATAAGTCCAAACCAGTGGCGGTCACAGGAATGGCTTTCCCAACTGGAGATGTCAATAACTTTGTCGTGGGCAGTGAAGAGGGAACAGTCTACACAGCCTGTCGTCATGGAAGGTGAAGTTCAGTATTTTGTACTTATAAAACATTGTGCACCTGTGTCGATGAGAGATAGCCAGGTGTGTGTGGAGAGTGTTCAATGTTTTCTTCTCTTGGATCAACAGTGTTTGTGCTGTTCTTGTGACCGGCACAGGAGCTCCCTGACTTTGAGCATCTTTGCTACAGCCTGTTATAGTGGGGCAGTTACCCCAGGCTCCCTGTGTAGCTGGTGGGGAGCAGTGATTACCCTAAGGCTGACTTTCTTTACCTTTTTCAGTCATGTGCCTGAAGAGAAGGTGGCTAGGCCCTCAGAAATACCTCTTTCTCACCTGTGAGATGAGATGAGATGAGATGAGATGAGATGAGATGAGATGAGATGAGATGAGATGAGATATATGAGATGAGATGGAGGTTTACACAGCTGTGTACAGGTTTATACACCTAGCTGAGATGCCAGTGTCTATGTCTGCTCAGGTCAAACGAGGCCCTCAGAGACACTTCTGTTGCAGGATAATCAGGCCTAAACCAATATCAGATGGTAATCTGTTTTATTTTTTACCATTCTCAGCTCCATCTTCAGTCTCCACAGTGATAAATCAGAGAAAAGCCACCATGGGCCTGGTTCCTTTAATAACACAGATGCAGCCACAGTGTGCCACATGGGTTCTAGACAATCCTGTGCTCTCTCACGCTGTGGTCACACATAACATAACTCAGGCTGTAGTTTGGTACTGCAAGTTCCTTGTTTGGCACCCTGCAAACCTGCAGGATGCTAGTGTGCTCTGTTAGCTTCCAGTAGTAGTTTTATCTCTGGGAAACTTGAAAGGCTTTTGTAAAGAACAAAAGCCTGGTTTTCCACTGACAGACTTGGAGCTCATCTGCCCCAGTAGTACGCAATGTTCTCTGAATTCATATTTTATCATATTCTGAGTATATGTTGGCCAAAAAGACATTGATACAGTGATTTAAGATTGTAAGGCTTCTGTTACACATCCCAAATGTTTTATAAATACTGTTTTACATATGTTTTGTTCAATGATTTTTTATTTTTAAATATTTTTATTTTAGCCTGACAGCTGACAGCGTTGCAAAATTGTGTCTATTTAGACATGGTTTGAATGAGTCTTAGGCTGCTAGGATGAATGAAGCATGCCCAAGAGCATTTCTCACTTCTGAGCTTTCAGACTTGCCTGGTTTGTTCCTCACCAGAGGGGGAAGGTGCCAGATCCTCTTTTTAGCACACCTTTTTAGAAACATTCTACTGACCATTGACAAAAACTCTTCTGCTCCTGCCTGTCTTTCCTGAAGCTTTTTGCTATCATCCCAGGTTTACTTCCAGAGGCTCCTGTGTCCTTCAGCCCAGCACAGTGAAGAGCCATATGTCATTCTGGAAAAAGGTGTGTCACAGCACAGCAGACACCCAGGGTGGTCTCAGTGCTCCAGAACTCCCCTTACCCCACTGACTACGTGGCAGATAGCTGGGATAAAATAAGAGGTGTCCTTTGTATTCAGCACTGCAGGGCTCAGCCCCTGCTCCAGCACATGCTGCGAGGTCTGGCAGCGGAACATAAGTGAGGTCACCCTGTCCACACAGGAGAGGTGAGGGGACACTGCACCAGCTGGATGAGGGAGCAGTTTCCTCTGGCACAGCTCCGTATCTCCTTTCAGTACACTGTGCTCACACTGTACTCACTGGCACAGGCCAATTTTTCTATAATCTAGCTAAAAGGGTAATTTCATTATTTCCTTTTCTGTGTACACTGTGAGACAGCACTGACAACTGATCTGGCATCATTTGCTTCCAGGAAGAAGAAAACTGTGCACATTGTCTCTTACACAGCGTTGTACTTTTCCTTGTTAACAGCTATTCCAGCCTCTGGCTGATGAAATGCACATCTCCCCTTGTTCAAAGTAATGACTGTATGATACCTGATCACAAGATCAATTACTTCACTTTTTGTGAAAAAGCATTTGCTTCCTCAAGTGACTTGATTGACTGCTAAGAAAAGTTATCTTAGATATTTAAGAGAAAAAGATTTGCCCATGATAAGTCATTAACATATCTGCATTTTTATTTTAATGGTTATTCCTTGATAATGGCTTACTCAGAGGCATAAGCTATAGTATAATTACAATTTAGAATTTTATAATGATACAGAAGTGTTATTTCAATCTACAGGAGTAGACAGTGTATGTAGAAGTGAGTAAGGTAAGTCTTCAGAAGTAAGAGAAATTCTCCCTGTGCTTGATTCTGAGCATTAATTTTGCCCACTGGAGTAAACCTCTGCAGGCAAAGTCCTTAGCAGAAGGAGAAAGATTTGCGGGTTAAATAGAACTTTAAAAGGAAACAGGACCCTAACAGTAAAGAAAAGTTATGTTAAAACACTAGGTGGTGAATCACTCTGCATGTAAATCCTTCTTCTTCCTGCAGTAAAGCTGGCATTGGTGAAATTTTTGAAGGCCACCAAGGACCTGTCACAGGAATCAACTGTCACATGGCAGTGGGTCCAATAGACTTTTCCCATCTCTTTGTCACATCATCATTTGACTGGACAGTGAAATTGTGGACCACAAAGGTAAGAAATCCAAGTTGGGCTGGGACAAGTAATTCTACTTGGGAAAATGCTGTTGTCAGAAATATTTTAATACTGTCTATCAAGTCCTAAGAACCAATTAATTGTTATGCTGTGATTAGAATGAGCATGTGGTAGAATTGTAAGTAAAATATACAGCTAGTGTAACAACCCTCAATCATATTTGCCCTGGAGCATACCTTGCCATTTAGCAGGCCTTCATTTCAGTGTTAACCCTAGTGCTGAACAGTTTCACAAGGCAAGGAGAAGAGGATGTCTTGTACTCCCAGCCATCAAACAATCCACTCAGCACTCCCTGTGCAGGCTAAATTGCAAGGCTAATATTATGCGCCGTGGTGGTGCAGGAGCAGGAACAGCTTCCTCTGATGAAGCAACAGGGGAAGTGCACATACAATTTAGTGCAATCAATATCACCTGCGAAATTCACTGCTGGAGGAGTCTGTGATAGCCAAAAGGTATACAATGTCCCAATGACATTAGACACTGGAAGCAGGGAGGAAGTACATGCTGGAACTTACATTGATGACCACCAGGGATCTGCTGCTGACTGCTCTGTGGCTGTCTGTCCATGACCTCTTTCAGAGAGAGCAGCAGAAGAGCAGAAATGGCACAGTCCTGTGGAACTTTGAAACCCCAACACTCCATGGGACAGACTAAACAGACCAACCTGATGAATCATACAGGCTGAGTAAAATGGGACAATGAGATGTAAAGTCCTAATTATACAAGTAATCTACATTTATTTTTTTATACACTAGAGTAGAGAACTGCCCTCCAAATGTTAGGTTCTTGCCTTAACCAAGTCGCTTTTACGGCTGCATTTGTTTCACATCTTGAGCTGCACCCGGCAGAGTTCCTGTACTGGAAGCTGACCACAGTCAGGAAGTATCTCAGCATGTGTTCATCCAAGACATCAGGGCTTGGAGATGCTAGAACAGATGCACAGCAAATGTAAATATGAAAGTGATCAGAAGGGCTCATGTAACAGCCTTGTGCTGGAAAAAGAAGCAGTTACCTGGATGGTAACTTGAATCAGCTTCCATAGTAGCTTCCCAATGCTTTTGTTAATGGCCTGATCCAGTGTGTGTACTAATTAACAGGTATCTTTTCCTAATCAGCAATGACCACAGCTGTTGGTTTTGTCTTGAGCATTGCACTTCAGGAAAGTCATAATGAGAAAGGTGCATGATTTGCCTAATTCACATATAACTAAACACATCACTAGATTCAGCCTGAACCAATGCAAAAGTAATCCAGAGGAGTGGACATGGGAAGGCTGGAATGGGTCTGGGATGGTTCCTGGGTGGTAAACGTTAGAAAAGACTGCAGGACAGCCAGGGGATGGACAGCTTAAATGTTGGCTCAGTGGGGCTAGATAGGCTGTTTGGCGGGTGAGACAAGGGAGTCCTGGGCAGTGATGACTTCCCTTGGGAGCAAGGGAATATTGGAGTGTTGAAGCTGAAGCTGAGTAAGGGGAGAAGAATTTGTGGGGAGTGCAGGGAAGATGAAAAGCAAGTATTGAATTCCAATCACACATGTACAGAAAAGTCTTGGATTGGTATTTAGCTGTCAGCTTGAGGCTGAATATGGCAATAAGGGTCTCATTCATCTGCAGCTTAAATGAAATTACATTAAGGGATAATAAAGCCTGATTTTTATTTTAAACTCTTGGGATTTTAGAAGTTAGTAGTAACACTAACACAGCACATTTTGGGCACAAAGACGCTGCAGATAGTAATACACAGTTATCCTTGTGGAATATTTCAGTGCCAGAATGGTTGGGTCTGATTTTGTTCAAGACAATCAGTTTTCAAAGAACCAAACCATTTAAATTTCTGATATCTATCAAGCTGTGGCTTGTCTGGCAAGAGAGGCTTCCTGAGAAAGCTGTTTGAGCTGGGCGAGCTGTGATGTGCATGTGACACACCACAACACCGCTCAGACCTGGAAGCTGCATTGCTCTTTTGGTTCACTCACTTTCTTCTGGAGCAGGTTTAAGCAGCAGCAGCAGCCCCAGGCTGCTGCCCTGCCAGCCACTGCCCTGTGAAAACATCCTCTGAGACACTAGGCAAGTTCTTGAATTGTGATGAATGTTTTATTTTTCTCCCCATTCAACTGCATCAGAAGTTTATTTCCATATTGTCTGAATAATTTTCTTGGCTGGAGCTACTACATATTTAAGGGTCTCTTTGTTCAGTTCTCATAGTCAAGGCTCAGTCAATCAGTGGGCTCTGAAAAAAAAATAGTGGATTGATATAAAGTATTAAGTGCTTCTGCTGGCTAACAAGATTTTAGTCGGTATTCGTTTATTCCTTTAGTTTCTTATTTGTAAATTTAATCTCCCTAACAGCATCCAAAGCCATATTGCTTTCCTGCTTCTACCAGCATTGTCTACTTAATCCTGTGCACATTATCCTCTTTGGTCATGAAATTCAATTCCTTTCTGTTTCACAGGTTCAGAGTCAATGTCCAATTGTAAAGTGAACCATAAAAGCTTTGTGTTTTTATTGTCTATTGATGTTGTGTAGCATCCCGGGGTGCTTACAAGAAAGGCACTTTCATAGCAGGCATTTGACTGATGGATTGAAAGCACCATCTTCCTTAAAAACTCTCACTTTACATTTTATAATGTTTTTGTGGTTAACACATTTTCTAGCTAAAGGCAGTTCAACCAGGTGACTGAGAATAAGATTTTCACTAGCGGATGAATGAGCGTTTTTTAGATAACACTAACACAAGGTTCATATTATCATCCATCACATTAGCCAAAAATTAGATCCCTGTGTGAATAGCAAGCAACCAGAAGCAACAGGAAAAGAAACAGAATTTGCAAAGATAGTTGCTTGATAACCACGGCATTACCTGGTTCCTGATGAAGTTAATAGGGCTTTCACCTTGAATTCGTGCTACACCATGTGAGCAAGTCTGGGATGCAGAGCTGTCAAAGGGAAGTCCTGATGTGAAGTGTCTGTGGAGCTCTGCCCTTAATTAGGTCGTGTCGGTACGATGCTTTGAAGAGGTAAAGTGCTAAGTGGAAATGCTAAGTGTTGTTAATTAATTAAACACTAATCCTCATGAATGAATAGCATGAGGTTAAATAATGAAATGTAAGTATTGTTATTATTACAGCAATTGCTGTTTGGAGAGCAAATTTTTTGATATTGTGTCAAGAGATGGAAGCTGTCTTGGAATTGTTAAAACATAGCAAAACATAAGCTGGCTTCAGCTAAAGCCTAGAAGATAGTTTGTTTGCTGCTAAGGGTGTTAATAAGGGTCTGGACAGAGAGCTGGATTTTGTTAGCTTTTTCATCCTTCACATGCCTTCTTTAGCTCTTATCCTTCCACTGAGGGGAGGTGCTAACGACTAATTTTCTCCTCTTGCACCTATGCCTAAATCGTGCTCAGATAAGCAGAGATTGGAATAACTGTAAAACATTGCTGTATCCCCATCCGTGCTTGTCTCCCTCTGCCCAATGTTTAAGTAATGGTGGTAATACCAAAATCAGAAGGAGGCTCAGAGGTGAGCAGACTGGTAGTAGGGCCACCACATAACCATTAGCAGGGTCTAATGGAGCCTGAGGTCATGTGTGCCCTCAGTGACAGATTACCCATTGTGTGTCCATGCTCAGTTTTGCTTTGCTAGTACGTGCATCAATGGCAGTGCCTTCCTCGTGCCTTTCCTTTGTCTTTTTTTATTTTCTTATGCTCTTCACATGCTGCTCTTCTCTTCTGTATGCTCTGATGTTCCAGTCTGTTGAGCTTTTTTGAGAAACCACATTTTAAATAGCAAACATTCCCATTTCTATTCTATGTGCCATCACATACATCTCTGTACCTTGAATATCTTATGCTCATGTGCTTGCTGACAACCTGGGTACAACCCAGTCCTTCTGTCTCTTGGAGCAAATTATTTTACCTGTTACACCTTCCTATCAGCATGTAACTTCAGACTCCACTGGTTTTCATTTGGCCTAGAGTTGAACACCATCTCCTCCAAGGTCCAGCTGAAGCCTACCTTTAGAAAAATGCAAAGAAGCATGTAGTGCTGCTATAGACAGGTACCTCTGCCCTTCCCCAAAAGCCTTGCTGATAGGATCTGATCAGATTCACTTAATAGATCAAATTTACTGTGATGGAAAAGGGTATTGCAGAATGAACCAGGGCACTACTTGATGGTCACCTTTGGGCCATATCTTCTCATATTATCATGTAAGGCATTTTAGATGACTCTTCATATGAAGCTGGATCCTCTTGAATCTTTTATTATGTAGAGCTTTCACACTTTGGTTTCTTATGCAGCCACTGGAAAGCAGTAACAGTACTGCATACATAAGACACCTCTTGGAGAGACCACCATTCCTGCCCACCCCTGTCTGTGCAGGAGCCCAAGTCTGGCAGATGATCAGTTGCTGTAGCTTTTGGTGGCTTTCTTGCATCTGGGCAGCCTCAGGCCATATCTAAGCCGGCAGACGTGTCAGCACTTTTGAGCTCCCAAGTCTGTCTTCATATCCTGGCTTTTCCCAAACCACTACCAGGAAGGAATCAGCCTCTTTATCCCATACCACATGCACATATACATAAGCACCTTGATTTGCAGCCAGAATCCTGTGGAATCCTTTACTTCTCCTCCCTTTGACTGATTTTGGTGGATCTCAAATGTCTACCTCAAGGGACAATTTCCCTCCTCTTATTTTGGATACCTGACTAGAATGGTCTCCCTCACTGATGCATTACCACACAAAGCTCCTTCTTTTCTCTTTGATAAAAGCAATTAAAATTATTGATTTGATTAATCACTGCCCAAATGTTAATTTTATCTGATTATAGGGAATGACAAAGGGTAATAAAATAGCATGCTGGGATTTCATGGAAATGGTGTCTCTGTGGTGTGAGTTCAGAATTTTGAGTTTGATCCAAAAATAAGTCAATGAATGAATTTGCTTCAGAGCACACTTTCTGTCAGAAGGCCAAGCTGACTTGGG